TACTAATGAGCTACATTCCCTACTCTCTAGACTATTTTCAATATTTTCATATTTTGTGTGTATGTGTGTGCATGCATGTGCATATATGTGCATGAAGGCACCCTATAGCATGTGTGTGGAGGTCAGAGGATAACGTGTGTCAGCTCTCCCCTTCCACCATGTGGATCCTGGGAATCAAACTCAGGTTGTCAGGCTAGATGGCATGCTCCTTTACATACTGAGCCATCTTGTGGACACCCCCTCTAGTCAGTCTGTCTGTCTATCTATCTATCTATCTATCTATCTATCTATCTATCTATCTATCTATCCATCCATCCATCATCATCTATCTATCTATTTGAGAGAGGGTTTCACTTTGTAGCCCCGGCTGTCCTGTAACTCACTATGTAGACCAGGCTGGCCTTGAACTCACAAAGATCCACCTGCCTCTGCCTCCCAAGTGCTGGAACCAAAGGTATGAGTTGCCATACCCAGCTCAGTTTTGTTTTTTTTTTTTAAATATAACTTTCTTAAACTGAACTCTTCAGTCTGGGTATCCACACTCAGCCTAAATTCTCTATAATTGCTTGTGCCAACCTTGTGTTGGCTGTGGCCATTTCTAACTCTCCTCAGCCTTACACACACAGGGGGGGAGAGAGGAGTTTTGGGGTGGCCTTGCTAACTCACTGCAGGATCTTTGGCAGTCTCTCTCTCTGTCAGCCTCACTCTCCCCAATATACTGCAAGGAAAAGTAGAGAATGATTTCCCAGGCCTCTGCCTATGCAAAATGTGCCTTGTGTGTCCAGTGAGGTTTTCCCTATTCTAGACACCTATCCCCAGAGCCCGGCAAACTCTTCAGTAGCATCACACAGCCAAAGCAAGTGAGTACCCCAAAACAGACAGCCAACACCCTGGGAACATCTCTGAAGAGGTCACAAAGACTGCTCCTGGGGGGCAGGCACCCACGTCTTGCCTACTCCCAGAACTCACAGATGGAGACTCGGGGATCCTCCCTTCTGCTGGGGGCAAGAGCTGTCTTTGGGCCTCCTGTCCCTTGGGGGAGCAAACAGGGTTAAAATCCCATTGATTAATCGGGTCCCACCCTCGGATCAATGGCTGGCATTAGTCAAGCTTAGCACCGTTTTATTAGTCTGGCTGCCCTCTTGCAGATGTTATAGATGAAGGAATAAAGTGAGAAGGAGAGGGAAAAAGGACAAAATCATTAGTCTGAAGGGAGGGAAGGAGCATCGCGTCTGTTTTGTATTCTGATTCGGAGCCGGCCGCCCGCAGCAGGAGTTCACACAACAATCCATTTCAAAGCTATTTCCAGAAGTTCTGCCCAGCCTCCTGATTTCCCATGTACTCCGGATAGCTAAGATCCCAGGAGCATTTGGTCCATAGCAACCACCAGCTCTGTCTCTGAAGCCATTTGACAAGGCTCCAAAAACACCTGCGGTCCCAATGCATTCGTTCATTCATTTCTCACAAGGGTCAAGCTTTTGCAGCATATAGGAAATCAGGCCTAACCATCGGCCAGACAATCTGTCTTGGAAGTGTCATCTCTGCCCTGAAGGGACCGATCCTTCTGCAGGACTCCAAGAGGAGCCTGCTACGTGGTCCCCACTTTGCCAAAGCTTTGGTTCAGCAAAGGAAACCCATGGGCCTGCTTCCCAAAGCACTCCAGAGAGGCGCTTTGAATTAAGACCAGAAATGCTTTTAAAAGATTCCAGTCTCTGGTCTTCTAACGATGACCTCTTCCTTAATTTTGTGATGGCTTTGTCTGCCTTTTTCGATCAGCTAGGTAGCTATAAAAAGCTAAGCACCTCCTACTAACCCCATTAAGATGAAAGCGGAGGATTTTATTATTCATTTTTAATAGGAAGAATCTCAAGCCCCCCATCCCCGGAAGTGTAAAAGGTAGGGTTTTGATGTATCTGGTTATGGAGAGGGGTTGCAGCGGAGTTCATCCTCCAAGAGTGGGAATGCTGGGGGAAGCCTGGGTGACCTATCTGTGCACGAAAGGAAAGTGGGTAACCTCAGCCATTAGTCCCCTCCAAGGCACCTCTGCCCCACCATACGGGCTGACTTCAGGACCTGCCTGAGAAGCCAGGAATCACCCAAACCCCCCTAGAACACAGCCTCCTGGTAATTGTCTGTTAAACATTTGCAGCACACACACAAAGGTAACTAAGCCGAATGGCCACTCCCCCAAGGACTGTGCTGTTCATAACTGTAATAAAACCCTGGCCACAGACAATGTCATTATCCAAACGCCATTAACATCCATATTCGTATCAAATGCCATCTGGCAAAGGAGTCCACAAACTGAAACCTCTCCTTCTCTGGGGCTTCCCAGCTTAGTGGGGAGGGGCAGCCCACAGCTTCCTCCTCCCTCCACTGATGCTCAGGGCACAAGGATCCAGGCCTGCCTGCGAACCTTGGGGCCAAGCTAACAGCTGTGCCCTGGGGAGAGGACCACCGGATGCGAGGAAAAGGAAGTTGTAGGAGAGTGGAAAGCACAGAAGTGTAGTGTTTCGCGTTGCCATTGACTTCTCTTCAAGTCTTAATTAGGAAGATGCAACCAACTACTCTTTCATGTTGTCATAATAGGGAACTGATTGAGTATTTATAGAACCCTCAGAGGAGTCATTGTTGTGCAAAGAAACAGAAGTTAACCTCCCGCCAGTCCCCGGCTGCCTTGAAGACAGCAGCACACACCAAAGCCTATACTTAAGCAGAGAGAGCTCTCTATGGGGAGTAATTCTGTGACCCCAGAACATCAGCTCTTCCTGGAGGGAGAGGTGTGTGCCTGGGGCACTACCAGGCTCCTCTTGTAGACTGGAACTGACTTCCTCAGCCACCGCAACAGGTTACCCTTGAGATCAGGAGATCAACCAACCAGCCATGAAACTCAGCACCCCCAAGCCTGGACTCTTGCAGGGAAGGAAGAAGGCTGGAACCTTGGCAAAAGTGCTGCTAGGCACAGGCAGGAAGCAATTCAGGAGCAGGCTTCCAGGAGATCCCACTAAACAATGCCCAGCCTCATCTCACCAACGGTGGATGTCAGCTATTGTGATTATCAGGGAACACATGAGTACCTGCAGCATGGGGGTATGGGAAGATGCGGACAAATAAGCATGATGGTGATGATGGTGATGGTGATGGTGATGGTGATGATGGTGATGAAAATAATCACAACTACCCTGCTCTACACACAAGATCAATTCACATTTTTCTGATTAGTCCTCATAATCACACGAAGTTAAAAGGTAGTTATTCCCATTTAAAAAAAAACAAAGATGGAGAGATTCTGAGAAATCAGGTAACATGGGAGGGGGAAGAGCGGAGTTTCAGACTTCACCTACTGAACTCAAGGTCTGAACACTGAGCCATTATTCTGGCCCACTCAAAAGCATTTTTGTAAGCTCTGACGTCCGGAGCACAAGACCCTGGCTTCTGCCTCTACCATATTCCACCTGCATAACTTTAATTGCTTTGCCTGTCTGGGTCATCTCTGCCTCTCAGCAGTAAGGATGCCCTTCTGCAGTGAAGGCTGAGCTAGCCTGTGCCTCCTTACAGGCAAAGACTGCAGATGAAGGCCAGGGCTGCAGCTCAGTTGGTTGAGAGCTGGACTAACATGCATAGAAACCTGGGTTCGATCCCAAACACTGCATAAACCAAGTGTGGTGGCTCATGCATAATCTCAGCACTCGGGATGGAGGCAGGAGAACCAAGGAGCTTCAAGGTCATCCTCAGCTACATAGGGAATCTGAGGCCAGCCTGGGCTACATGAAACTGCTTTAAAAAAAAAAAAAAAGGCAAGCTTTACAAATGAAAACACCAGTCATATCTGGCTTCACACCCAGGAACATGGCACAGCTGTGAACAGCTGGGAGACAGATGGGGTGGTGGCCAAAGGGAGTGGCTTTAGATAATGCTGGGAAAGAGGCTCTGTGAGCAGGGCTCTCAGGTAAGACCAAAAGCAGGGCATCCATCGCCAGCCCAACAGACTTTCAAGAGAATACTCATGGGCCAAAGAAATGCTTGGGCTATGTGCTGCCTCTGCCCCTAAATAATCCACACCTCTGGAATTAGGCACCTGATCAATGGACCCAGAGGACACAGCTGCTGTCATCACCGGCTGGTGCAGCATCTTTCATATCGCGACGAGACTGGCTGGCACCACGCTGTCCAGACCTGCACTGGGGCCAGAAGGGAAGATGTTATGGGCAGGAAATGCGTTTTACCTTCGACTTAAACCCTTTCTCACCAGGTGATGGTGATGCATGCAGAGGCAGGCAGATCTCTATTGAGTTCGAGGCCAGCCTGGTCTACAGAATGAGTTCCAGGACAGCCAGGGCTATGCAGAGAAACCCTGTCTTGAAAAACCAAAAACCAAAACCAAACAAAACAAAAAACACCTTTTCTGGAAACACACGGGGCTCAGAAAATCCAGAAGATTAAAAGAAGTGAGCTTTGCAGTATTGGAAGAAGAGGCTCTCAGGGAGGCTTCTCTCCAGGAAGACAGCAGGCCTTAGAGCCTAGAACCAGATTCTAGAGTGGCCCAGCACAAAGCCTTCCCATAGGAGACAGCAATCGACGGAGGAAGGGGACACTCTACCCTCTGGGATTCTGGGTCTTTGAATTCAATAGGATACTATTCATACAGTGTCTGTCTCCTCCCGTAGAGTCTAACCAGCCATCAGCCCCAGCAGCAACGGGCATGGCCTGGAGCGGCACAGCAGAATGAGTCAGAGACTTCCCTTGCCTGAGAAGGCAGAGGGGAGCAAAGGCAGAGCCCCGCTCACAGCGAGATCAAGGTTATAGGCGGGGAGAGGCTGATCCGGATCTGAGAAGTGAGCTCATCAGAGGCAGCTCGCACCCACCCACCCACCGAAGCTCACCTTTCCGGCAGGCAGTGAGGACGTGACTCACGGCTTTGTCAGCACTGTGCAAACACTGGGAAGGGCGTGTCCTTGGAGCAAAGAGGAGCAGCTCTGCCACCAAAGGCACATGGGCCCAAACCTGCCCTTGCCCACTTGACCACCTGCAGTGGCCACGGAAGAGCCCGGACACTGTCTCCTCTGAACCCAGCGTACTTGCCTTACTGCAGCGAGACAGGAGCACCATTAATACTTCACAAGGAATGAAAAATCAAAGGGGGAAGACTTTCTTCCCTGTATTTTTTAAACATTTGGGTAAGGAAAGTCAGATGTCAAAGAAGAAAGTCCCCATTTACATCTTTTAAAATATGAGCAATTAATATTTTCTGTGGAGGTTCACGCTTCCTCCCCTCATTCTGTTTGCAGGGCATTGTTCAGCCCAGGCTTTGTAATTTGTTGCGTGCTTAAATATTCAGCCTGTATTTCATTTGGGCTACACATTTAATTCAGCCAACATGTTCATTTGAAGATCAATACTGTCATAACTATGTTGAAAAATTAAATTATTGTAACTTTATTTACATTTCTTAAAAGTACTGTGAAAATTATTCTTAACCAGGACCTAATCAATGTTAGAGTCTAAAAATATGCCACTCTGCATGAAGCTATAAAAAGATTAATGTACATTTTTTTACAAGAAATTAGTAGCTTAATGAAGTGGATAAAAACGCTGTCACAATTTTTATTGGATCTAAATTGCATAGTAGTGGAGGTACAGTAAGTGCCTTCTACATAATGACATAATGAGTCATGACTAGTGCTGGAAGGCTAATTTGCCCTTAACTGACACAAAACCAAGGAATTAACATCCCAGTCGCTCTACGCCAATAGCAGATGCATTATTTCATTGCACAGCAGGGTTTTTAACTAAACTCTTAACTGTAGAAATATTGATCTATTCTTCTGTGAAATGATGAAATTGGAATTTTTTTTTTTAAAAGGACGTCTTAAATTATGGCTGCCGCGGTGACATTTGCTTTCACACTCCCATTCCTGCCTACAGAGCAGATGCAACCAGAGAAGTTAGGGAGGTTCCCACCTGTGTCTCAGGTCCTCAGTCAGAGGAGGGAGGGAAGGGGGAGGGGTGTTGCGTGGAAGTGAAAGCTGGCAGAAGAAACAACTAGACAGCCTCCAGGAGGAGCTGGGAGTGTGGCTCAGTCGGTGGGGTGTTCGCCTGGAGTGCGTGAAGCCCTGGGGTGGACCAGCAGCACTGCGCAGAGTGCGTGTGGCACCTATGACCTGCACCTGTAACTCAATGTAGGGGCAGAAGAATTAAAAACCAAGGTCATCCTGAGCTGCATTGGCGTTTGAGGCCAGCCTAGACTACATGAGACCCTGTCCAAAAAAAAAAAAAGAGCAAAAAACACACACACACACACACACACACACATCCATTGAGAAAATGACAGTGACAGCCCTTCTACATGGACCCAGGTTCTTTAATGAATGTTCTTGAACATTGTCTCAGCCCACAAGTTGGTTTACTTTGAAGATGATTTAGTGTTTGCCGATCACTTAGGTACAGTGACATCCACCTCATGTCTCAAGTAAAAGCTGAATGGTGTCAAGTGGAATTGAAGGGGCTGAAGGGGCTGGAGAGCCTAATAAGACAAGTAGGAAGTGAAGGATGCCATCTTGTCCTGGCTTCCGGCTTCTCACGCATCCATTCACCCTGTGTTTATTGGTTACCTACACCGTGCCAGCGAGGAGGAGGTTCACTACCCTTGGTGGATAATTATTGCTTCTGTCAATAGAGTGCCATGGAACATATTTCTTTGTTCAATTAAGTGAGTCAAAATTCATCTTGCTTTGAAATTCTCACAATAACCCTTGTACTGACTCCTTCCTGGTACTCTGAGCTGTCACAACCCAGGAATTCAGAAGAAAACAGAGCAATGTACTGATTAACAGGTACACATCTGATGCCTCACATACATCTGTTTGGCGTGCACACATGCACACACACACACACACACACACACACACACACACACACACACTGATCCTTTGTGTATGAAGTGCTGGGAGACCAAACCCACTTATTTCAACAAGCCTACGTTCTGTCCCACCACTGAAGCCTGGGCACAAACAAATGACTAGATGCAGTCTGAGGGCAGTAGTCCTCAACACCAAATGACAATAAGTCACATGGCAGCAGCCTTGCTTGGCTGCAGGGGGATGGGCCTGGGATCACTCTGTCTTAGTCACCCCAAGAGACTGGGGAGTAGAGCTAGGTCGGGTAGGGTCACCATGGAGAACATGAACAATGAAGGGATGAGCTCTGCATGGCCCAGGCCCAGGACTCCCGGCATTGATGACTGGGCTCTAAACAAGAGCTGAAACAAGGACAGCCACAGAGGGACAGATAAGGGCACACAAAGGAAGGGCAGTGTGACACTTTGGAAACTGCAGATGATAAACTCTGCCCCCTACTGAGTTGAGAACCTCATTCTGATACATGTAAAACCAACAAACATCTCTTCGTTTCCCTTCTATTTTTGTAGTCTTTTTTAAAAAATGAATATATGTATATTGTTAATTATAAAAAGGATACATATTCATTTACTCTAGAAAAACTGGAAGACGCTGTTAATATGGTTAAAAAAACTGAAAGTTATAAAGCTTTTCAAATCTATGTTATTTTTAAAAAAGTAGAAGAATCGATCTATTTAAGAACATCCTAAAATGGGTTGCTGAAGCTTGTCTGAAAGATCCCGTTCATACCCCCATCAGCATGGAGCTCGTCCTTTGAAAAAGCGCCCATTTGATAAAGGGAAGGAAAGCTCATTATTTTAATTAGCGTTTCTTCTATCACCAGTGAGTTTATGGTTCTTCATATTTTTGGTCTCTTCTACTTTATCCATGCGTATCACATACTAATACCCTTCCCTGTTTTATTTTTGGAGTGTAATTCTTACTGATTTGTGAAAGTGTATAAAAATATTAACTCTGTCTATTATGCACGGCGAACATTTCTCCTGGTTTCCCTTGTTTTGTTTATAGTACACCCTGACAGAAAGAAGCTTTCGTTCTTACATAAACACAAACACACAATCAACACGGTTCTTCAATCCCCTCTCCTGGCTTGCTTCCCCTCCCCCTCCTTGGTAGGTTGGTAAGCCCATACAACTTAGAGTCAGAAAACCCACATTCACTCACCAGCTGCGTGACTTAGGGGAAGTCACGTCACTTCTCTGGAGTCACTGTCTTTCCCCTCTGTGTCCTAACTTTCGTCACGATGAAATTCAATCAACATTGTTTTATATATACACATTGCTCACTGATATAGCTCCAGAGCCCAGAACAGAGCCGTGCGACTCTGCGACTGGTAGGCACTCCATAAATACATGATGGATGCGTGACTAAATGTCTGGCTCCACCCCAGCCCACAGCAGACAATCAATACTTCAGATTGAGCCTGACTGTCATCCACGGCAGAGCCCAGAAGTCGCGGCTCCTAAGCAGTCCTCCAGCACGCAGGAGCGACCTCTGGTAGTACTGTGGACAATGGTCCCATCGTTCCCAAGCTCGGTCAAGTGAAGTCTGGACAGAAGGCACAGTGGGAGCCCAGAGGGAGCTCAGCACTGCTCTGAGGGCAGCGCAGAGGGGAGCCAGTGCCCAGGCCCTGCCTCTCAGCCTAGTGCTAGCCCTTGTCAGACTTCATGAAACTCACCGCACCGGAACACCACAAGTGACTATTGAGTGATACACTCCAATCTCCCAAGGCTCATGAAACACTGAGGATAGGAGAACAGAAAGAAGATGCGAGCCAGAGGAAAGGGTGGCATGCTGTAAGAACCCAGACGTCTGAGTGGGGAATGGCTCTCCACAGCTGTTTGTTATTACCCACACAAGATTCATTCCATCAACATTCTGTCGGAGGAGGTCGGCTCATGAAGACCCAGCCCTCCCTGAGGTCCTATAAGCGGTTAATGGTTCCTGCAGAGAGGACAAGATACTTTCTCCAGTAGTAGCCACTGGTAAGGTGCATATGCTCCTGTAAACAGCCCTCACCAAGCTCCTCTAGGTAACTGATTAAATGTTCGGATACACACACACACACACACACACACACACACAAACTAGCCATGTGGTAGTGGTGCATGCTTTTAATCCCAGCACTCCAGAAGCAGAGGCAGGCGGATCTCTGAGCTCAAGACCAGCCTGGTCTACAGAGCAAGTTCCAGGAGAGCCAAGG